GCTCTATGATTATCCATCTTGTTGCGAATGCCGCAGAAGTTTCACGGGAGGAATAAAAATGGCAAGCGTGTTGTATTTCCGATTTGACAGCGCTGTCAAATGAATAACCGCAAGTGACTCCTCATTGGCCGAAATTAATTGCCAACTCGCTTGAGCTAACTGGTTTGGTGGCTTAAATTTAATAAGATTTCCATTGAAGTTTGCCGACTCGCTTAACTTTAAGCGAGTTGGAAAAGCAACTGTTTTCACGGGGCTTCCGCTTGTCACTCGCCAAGCGACCTGAAAAACCGCTCGTGAATTTTACCCAGGAAACATTTTACAATATGACTGTTGGTTCCCTAAAAACAAATCTGGTTAAGATCTGTCAACTGGAGTTATTTATAGCTGATAAATATACGCCTTATCTCGGGCAGCNTACCCAGGAAACATTTTACAATATGACTGTTGGTTCCCTAAAAACAAATCTGGTTAAGATCTGTCAACTGGAGTTATTTATAGCTGATAAATATACGCCTTATCTCGGGCAGCCATCTCCAGCCTTTAGATCGAGAACAAAACAACACAAAAGAGCTGTCAATGAACTCTCTAATGACGCAGCACTACACGGTCTATACGCAAAACAGTCAAGATTTCGATCTCAATGATGTGAAATTTTCAGCAGTCACAAAGATTGTTTTTTTTGACAAGCGTATCGCTCTATTCGCGAGTTGAATAGCTAATCCTTAGTGATGCTCTCGATTTTCTTAAAAGCATCTGATTTACATAATGCGCACTGTTTGTTGCTAGTGAAGGTTACAGTATTTTAACTGAAACATCCATTTTTAAAGTTTTTAGTCCGTGACCATAAATTTTTAAGCTTTTAAAGAGTTTGATTTCTTTACTCATATGCACTTGGTTACTCATCGTCTTTTATGTCAGAAGAAGTATTTGATGGTCACCTTATAAAAACTGACAGAAAAGTCTTAAATGATGCCTCAGTAGAGCACTTCGGCATGAATTTCCTAGTCTGGTATTTAATTTTTCCTGATATTAAAACTAAATCAAGCAATAATGAAATAAGTTTCTAAAGTATCTCATGAGACAATTACTTCTTTTACGAATGATAACAAAGATTTT